AAAGTCTGAGCTGAACTTTCCAAACAACCTCACTTGTCAGTTACATATCCAAGCAGGTCCTATGTGGGGAATCTCAGAGCAGATTTGTATTGTACTTGGCCTGTGTGTCACTGTGTCAGAGACCTTTGTGGATGGATGGCTCCTAGCCATCACCTGACAGGCAAGCTCACTGGGGTTTTGGCTTTTGGGTTTTGTTATCATTGTTGTGTTTTCCAACAGTTAGTGGCCACCACTAGTAGGATACCAAATGAACTTAGAGACCACAGAGCAAGTAAGGTCATGGTTATGGGAAATTTTATTTTACCCTCCTGCTCCACATCTGGACCAGATCACAGCTGTCACTGTGTGCTCATGTAACACACACTTAAGTGACTTGTAGGGAACATTTTTAGAAACACTAGCCTGGCCTGATCTATCCATTTTGTGGAGTCAGGAAAGAACTGGACAACACAGGCCCTGGGGGGAGAGGGGAGGAAGAGGCATTGCTCCTATTTTGTCACTCCAAGCTTGACATTCTCTGTGTGCATGGTTAGTGTTTACCTCAGTCCTGGTGTGGGAAGCAGGACTCGCTGAACAGTCTGTGAAGTCATCCTGCACTGTGTGACTGTCCCTGAGGACTACTTCCTAAGAGAGGTTCTCATGGACTTTGATAACCGTCCCTGTGTTTCCTCAGTTTCAGGTGCTGGGGAACTCTGGGAGCTCAGAGCAGCTGCACAGGCTGGGGAGTTAGAAGGAGAGGGATAGCAAGGGAGCCTGGCTGCAAGCTCCTCTCCTTCAGGACAAATCAGTAGACCTCTTCTGGCTTCAGGTCCTCATTGTACTACATTTGATCTTAGGCAAAGGCCAAGAAGCAATAGTTACTCATTGTCAAGGGAGTGGGGGGGGGGAGATAATGCACCCATCCTGTAAGGGCTAAATTTATAAATAGAAGAGTGCTTAGGACTTGGTCAGATAGGTCAATGGAAGCTACTACCCTATATTTAGCTTATTACTACAGCAGTCTTGTCAGGGCCATTGGAAGCAAAGAATTGTGGGAAACCCCATCACCCTACACTGGAGTGCTAGAAGAAGGAGGTGGCTGTACAAATAAACTGTTTGAGATATATGTTGCTCCTGAGACCAACTTCTAACTTTCATATTCAATTTCTTTAACTTATTGAAGGCTTTGCAAATGCTTTCCCAGTTCAGAACCAACCTTGAGTGCTTTCCCTTAATACTGATTTCACAACTGGCTGCCCTTCAGCATGGCATTCCAGGGCTTTGGGGCCATATTCAGTCTTTTCCCTGACTGCAAAAGCAACCCTTTTATTTCTTGTGCATGTATCTATCACCATCTACTTTGTGCCAGATGCTGCTCTATGTACTGGGGTCAGATGGCTGTAAAGCTATACTCCTCTGTGCTGCTGCATGGGGAAAACCCGGAAAAACATAAAGAAAGTAAAAGCAGAATGGCATCCAATTCCTCCACCCAGAGATTTTTCTATGCCAGTCCTGGGGCTTGAACTCAGGGCCTGGGCATTGTCTCTGAGCTCTTTTTTTTTTTTTGTCGGTCGTGGGGCTTGAACTCTGGGCCTGGGTGCTGTCCCTCAGCTCTTCAGCTCAAGGCGAGTGCTCTAC